GCTAAATTGCACTATCTTGGACCTGTATTTAGCAATCTCAGTCAATCGTCACATGTAAGAAGGTAATCTTTTAGTAAGATTCATTTTAGATTTCAATAAGTTGTATTTCATAGATTTACATGTTTCATTACAGGTATTTGATGGATCGAGATCGCTGTGTTATTCAACGACTTCTTTCATTTGTAGAGTATTCTGATAGTATAATTAGGCGAGGCGGTGTTATTGGTACTTTGAAAAATTGTACGTTTGACACTGAAAATCATGAATGGTTGCTGAGCTCGGAAATAGATTTATTATCATATTTATTGTTACCGCTTGCTGGTCCAGAAGAGTTTGACGATGAAGATAACGATAAATTGCCAATTAACTTGCAGTATCTTCCCGAAACAAAGACTCGAGAACCTGATCCAGATATAAGGTAAATTATAGGTCAGCCGACACATTTTATGAGACGCAATGCTAAAGAATTTATTGATAATATATTATATTATTATGTTATTCTCTGCAGACTTATGCTTTTAGAAGCATTGAACCAACTCTGCGCAACGAAAGTGACGAGAGAAATATTGAGGGAAAAGAATACATATATCATACTTAGAGAACTTCACAAATGGGAAAAAGACAAGAGTTGTTTATTAGCATGTGAAAATGTCGTTGATATTCTGATAAAGTAAATGTTTGAATAAGGTTTTATCTCTGCTTTATCGTGACTCTTTTGCATAACAGAACTATGTATTTGTTTGTTGCAGAACCGAGGAAGAAATCGGCTTAGATAACTTGAAGGAAGTAGATGTGCCGTCCGAATATACGGAGAAGTTTCATAAGATAAGTAAAGACTTTATTAACAATACATAATGTAAAAGTTGATATTATAAATATGTATAATATTTTGTAAATATTGCACACATAATACACATACAATATATTATAAAAATATGGTATTTCTCATAACACATTCAGCTCTTTGTATCGTACTTGTCACATATTGCACTGCCCCGTTTTTTTATCGTTAATAATAAGCTATCAGGTCCA